ATATTTACAGTAACGGTTCTTGCCTGGAATTCACTGCACATTTTGTCTCCCAGGATCCCTTTCCAAAGTTTCACTGAGCGCTACGAACTGCTGAGGAAATCCTGGGGCTCCAGCAAAAAAAGAGTGTGGGATAAAAGCAGCTCTCATCCTGCTGAGAAAACAGGTAAGTTTCTTCAGGTAATCCCTCTGCCATCAAGTAAAATTGTCACTGCAGCCATTTGGTATCATACAGATCAGGTAATTCTATATTCACCACTATTCTAAAATATTTCTTTAACCCATCACCAACCTGAGTTTCTAATTTGCTTAACCCTTAAAATCTTACCCCTCACTGCTGGTTTTCTGTGCTCCTCCTGGGTGGAACAATCACAGTTTCAGAGGTGTCTGGGGTTCCCCTCACCCAATATAATTTGATTTAGAGTTGATTCTCTAGTAGACTTGAAAACCACTTACCTTTTGCTTTATTTTCCTTTTCCTTCCTTTCTTTCCCCCCTCCTTGTTTCCTTGCTGAATCACTGACCTTCCAGCTTACCTGGACTCTGCTGCTTCTTGCACCTTTTGCACTCTTCTCTTTTTCTAAGCAAGAGTGAGGATGGACTTTAACAAACACAACCCAGCCCACAGGTAATGCTTTTGCTATGAGCTGCTGAAAGGAGGAGCTCATCAGGTGGTTACATTTAATATTAAAGGTTATTGCAGCCCCTTTCTGTGCCCCAAATGATTCCCCTTTTCACCCACTGGGTCAGTTCAATGAGCAGCAGCTGTGGGAAGCAGGTCCAGCCTGTTCAGATGAGTAAAACTGGTGGAAATCTGTTCACCCTGTGGAAATGGGGTGAAGCAAGGAAGTGCAGGCTGGAAAATTACTCACACAGTGGATCTTTCCCCCTCAATTACAAACCCATTAACTGCAAAGCCTCTTTGTGATGGGTTTTTAGTCCTTTTTATCTTGAGGGGTAATAAGCTGCAAACAAAGCAAAACAACTGCCCAAACACAGGCATAAGCTTTGGGTTCCCTTATCAGCCCAGCCCCATGAACACCATCAGAGCCACCAGATGTCTTCCTGTAAGCAAGAATTGCTTCTATTTGTTTTCAGGACCTTAAAATGCTCTCATCTCCTTAGAAATATTTATAGCAGAAAAGCAAACAGTATCCAGGATGGAATGATGCAAAACGCATCCAGCTCTGTGCATGCAGGAACTCCTGCAACAATCTCTTGTTCCAGGTCTGAATTAAGTCTGTCTCCATTTCCAAAGAGATTCATCTGGCTGAGCTGTTTGTGATGTAAAAAATTGTGCACTGTGTCCCAAAAATGGCTTTAATAACCTGTAATTGCTGCCATAAATTCCTGCTCAGTCCAGGACCCCAGAGCTGCTCCCAGTGCCCTGTCACAGCTGTACAATTGTGTAGAATTTGCTTCCCCTTCCTGCACTTTTCAGTACATTAAGGCTACAATTCCCTGCCTTTTGTTCTTTGCTTCCACAGCTTTGAGTTTTGAATATTTAATGGGATTTTCTTAGCACTGAGCTGCTCGGTCTATTCTTAATGGCATTGCTGCTGCTTTCTCCTGCTTCCATGTGGGAGGTTTGGGGTGGGAAAACACCTGAGCCTCCCTGGTTCAGCCTAAATCTGCCCCAGATGAGTTTTACCTGTGGAGAACAGAAGTGGTGACAGATGAGAGGGCAGCACCCAGGCACAGCCCAGTTCAAACACCCCACACTGGTTTGCTGCTTGCTGGAAACCTGCTGCCATCTGTGCTGTCACATTTCAGCCTTAACCACAGCAGGATCAAGTGCTCTCAGCCATCCCCCCTTGCTGCAGGGGTTTCCCCTCTAAGTGGCCAAGAAATCTCAGAGCAAAGACAAGACAAATCTCAGAGCAAAGACAATGCCCTGGCCCCAGTTCCAAATGTTGTGGTGCCTTCTCCTCAGTGTTTCCCTTCCAGGCGAGACTGCAGCGATGGGTGATGACGGAGCACCACGTGCTGCTGTGCTGGAGATCCTCCAGGATGCTCTCAGGGGACAAAGCCCTGCTCAGGCAGCAGGGGATGGAGCAGGGATCCCCTCAGTCTTCTGTGGCAAAACCAAAGTGTTCCTGGCCAATTCCCTGGTAAGTGCTGTTCCTTGGCTCCTGCCTCAGGGCCAAACTCCTGCCAAGCCAGTGTGACCAGAACTGGGCATTTTCCATCCAATTATTAAACTCAATCAAGCAGCCATCAGAACCCAGCTCTGCAGAGCACTTTGTGTAATGGGCTCTGTGTTGGAAAGGAGCTGCACTTGTGTCAGAATTCCAGTAAGGATGGCAGCTTTCCTCAGCTCCACAGGACAGGTTTGGCTGGGAAAGAGAGGAGGGAGTCAAAGGCACTTCTGCCAGGCTTGCTGCCTGGAAGCAGCCCCTTCGGTGGAGCTGGGTATGAACCTGCTGCTGCTGGCTCCACTTTCCTCCCCAAAAACTTCCATTTTCATTTCCATATTACCTGAAAAGCACCAATGAAGTGCTGTCACTTCCCAAACCCAATCCAGCAGTCACAGGAATGAGGTTGCGATCCCCTGGCAAACACCAAGAGGATGTTAGAGAGGGAAGAGCTGTGAGCACAATCCCATCCCTAACTCCAGGCTCCTGTTCCCCACTGCAGCTGGAGCTCCTGGAAGCCAGGAGAGCAGAGGTGTTAAATGAGAAGGCATTTTGCATCCAGTGCTGCTGGAGAAGATTTAAAGAGAAGAAAACAGCAAAGGAGAAACGCTCTGCAACTCTCATCCAAGCAGGTGACTCGTGGGGCTGAGATAACAGAGCAAGGCACATTTCCAGTCACTCTGGGGGATCACAGTGGCACAAATGGCCAAGTGCCATCTCCTGAGGTTCTGAGCACTCACATTTGTTTCTCCCATTGCATCCCCAGCTGTTCGTTCCTGGCTGGCCAAGAGTCGCTTCCAGAGGCTGCGCAGGGCTGCCCGCGCCATCCAGCGGGGCTGGAGGAGGTGCCAGGTGAGGCTGGGGCACAGGACAGCACTGCAAGGAGCCTGAGGCTTCTTGGGGTCTGAGAAAGAGTCACAACTCTGAGAACTGCAAACCCAGTGCTCCAGAAAACTCTTCTCCAGCTGAAGAGCAGATGCCAGTCCAGTAGAGCTGCTTCTGGCTCATCCTGCAGCATAAACTCACTCCTTACCTGCACGGAAGCTGGGGTGTGCTGTCCTTGCAGACTCCCTCTTTACAGACTCAGCTTTGCAGTCCTGAGTTGTGCCCAGGACATTTGAGAATTGCTGTTGCTGTTGTTGTGTCTTTCAGGCAAAAGCGGCCGCGCTGGCAGCAGCGGAGCTGGACGAGGGGGAAGGAGAGGAGCTGGCAGCCCCTGGAGCTGCCCTGGCCCCTGGGGCTGCCTGTCCCCTGGGCACAGCGTGGGCCCTGCAGGCAGCTGTGCAGCTCTGGCCCCTGGGGCTGGTGCTGGCTGCAGCCCCTGGCAGTGCCACGGGGCCCCGGCGGGCGCTGGCGCTGCTGGGCTGCCTCAGGGCGCTGCAGGAGAGCCCCAGGGGACACCTGGGCTGTGGCATCGCCTCCATCAGAGCCCTCCCACAGGTACCCACCCACCCCTCCCTCCTGTCTGCAGCTTGGGAGCAGGCTGGGCTGGCATCTCCCACTGCCTGGCACTGCCTGCCCTCAGAAACTGCACTTACAAATCACCCTCGGGTCTAGGGGGGGGGACATTTTTGTGTTGGCATCAAATTCGGTGTGCAGGAACTGCCAGAGCTGCTGCAAGGGCAGTGCTGAGCACCCCAACCTCCAGAGTGTGAGCTGATCTCAGTCCAGTTCAGTGCTGGCATCTCTGTAGTGACCATTCCTCTTCAGTCCATTTGTGGGCACTCCTCTGGAGGAGCTCCTCAGTCCTCATCCCCCAGTGGTTCCAGAGCTAAATGTGAGTAACAAAACCAGATGCCCATCTGCCTGAACTCTCCTCTCTTGTCCCTGCAGGGCCCTGTCAGGTTCCACTGCAAGAGGTCCCCCCTGCACTTTGCCACCGTCAGCCCCCACATGGAGGCGTTTTCCATCACGGGACTGAACCAGATCCTGCTGGACAGACAGGAGCTCCTGCCCACATAGCCCTGGCCTGGCCTGGCCTCCAGGGGGGCTCCCTGCAAGCTGCTGCTTCCAAATCACTCAATGTCCCCTTCTGCTGCTACCTCAGAGCTTCCCCAGCGCTGCCTTGTACGTCCAACGTGAGGGACAGGGACGCACCTCATAATGCACATTATAATAACCTTAAATAACATTAAATTGCATTTGCTGTGGCTGGGGCAGCTCCTGCTCCCCCCCACGTCACAGGAAATATCAACACTATGGGAACAAATCAATGCCAACAGATCAGGTGCTTGAAGCAATGAATACTTGAACTGAGCTGCCTGCAGCAGGCGGAGTGAGCAAATAATAATAATGCCAATAAACATTCCTGATTCCTGCAACCGTCCTGAGTGAGCACCAGTGTCCCAGGGGGGTGAGGAGCAGCCAGCTGGGGCAGATGTCTCAGGGAAAAGCAGGGCTGGGCTCTTGCTTTTATCTACAGGACCAAAATCAGAGAGCTCTCACAGTTGCCAGGTGAGTGCAGAGCTCCCAGACAGCACCACCCTGCCCAGGAGTGCTCTGAACCCTCCTTTGTTGCTCATGGATCTTGAAAATGTTCAGCTGCTCTGTGTATGTCATTTAAAATAAACTGCTCAATGCCTTCTCAAGGTGTCTGACCCGTCCCAACAACCTTTAGGTTGAACAAAAACATTTCAGGGTACAAAACAAAACATTTCAGAGTGCTCATGGATTAAAATGAATGTAAATATATTTAATATTGTCACTGTGAAGCAACATTTCCTGTGGCTGCCCAAGAATTCCACAGAGGACCAAGGTCAAGCCCCAGGATGTAAAAAATGAAGTCCCAGCACAGCTCTGCCCCTGTTTGTCAGCTCCAGCCTGAGCTCAGTGACACCCACGGGCACAGCGGCCAAGGCACACGGCAGAGCGCACCCAAACCTCACCCAACACAAATCCCCGGGCCGAATGACACGATCCCCACTGCCCCAGCAGCAAAGCTCACTCGGGGAGGACGGGGAGCACGTTCTCCTTCTCCTCGGGAGGCTCCACGATGCCCAGGCAGCAGTCGGCGAACTCCAGGAACAGCGGCTCCTGCATCAGCCGCCTCAGGAGGGAGCTCTTGTCCCGAGCCTGCTCCAGGGCCAGCAGCAGCTGCCGCAGGTGCGGGTTCCGCAGCAGCTCCCGCAGCTCCGCCGATTCCCCTGCGCAGGGAGGGGAAAAAACACAGTTACAGCCGAGCCTGGGGCCAGCAAAGCTAGGGAGGGGAAAAAACAGAGCTACAGCCGAGTTACAGCCGAGCCCTGGGCCAGCAAACCCTCCCGGGGACACAGCAACTGCCAGGGAAATGTAACAGTGCTCTCAGGGAAAGCTCGGCTCCCTGGAAAACACCAGGCACTGGTATGGAAGTGTTGGAAGTTGGAAAAGAGTGTGGAAAACAGGCAGGAAAACAAGGACAATAAGAATTTAGACAATCTGAACATGGACTATAAAAAATAAACAATTACAGACTCTCACTCTGCCCCAAAGCACCCCCTGCTAACAAAGGATTACCACTTAAATGCAATATCTTATTGTATAATTATATATCTTAAACATGATTCAAACATTCTTTTCCAACCAGAGTGTTTCTGCTCAATTTCAGCTTCCCCCCTTGATCTTGTAAATCAATTTTCTTGGTTCCTCCAAGAATGAGCTTTCCTGATAAGGAGGCAATAATTCTTCTCTTGGGATCATGGTGTCTGTCTGTTGTTCTCTCCATCCAGAGAGGATAATGTGTGGAGATTCTTGATTATCTTTTCCATTCTTTGGGCTAGTTACAAAAAGCATCTCACATCACATCGCTTCTATTTTAATATTATGCTACAGCCTAAACACTGCATTTACCACACCACTTAAAGGGGATTAATACAACAGGAGGTGAGCACAGCATCACTCTCCCACACCCCGTGTTTATCTCAGCACTGGCCAGGACGGGGTTTGTTACCCAGCAGCTGCAGTTTCTGCGGCGGGACGCGGTCCTGCTCCTCCTCCTCGCCCACGATTTCCTCCGGGCCCCCGGGACTGCCGGCGGGGGCAGGGGGGGATCCGGGCCCGGCCGCCTCCTCCTCCCGCCGGGCACCGGGCGCGCAGCGCTCTGCGGACACAGCCGGTTAGCGCCGGTCAGCCCCGGTGAGCCCCGGTTATCCCCGGTCAGCCCGGCCCGCACTCACCGCGGTGGGTCCGGCAGCAGGGCACGGAGCAGCTGCGGGGAGAACGGCGTGAGAAACGAGCCCGGGACCGCCGGCCGCGCCCTCAGCCCGCGGTACCGGCCATGCCCCCCGCTCCCCCAGCCCGTCCCTCGCTCACTGAGCGGTACCGGGCCGTGCCCCCGCTCCCCTCAGCCCGTCCCTCGCTCACTAGGCGCTGCCGCAGCGCGGACAGCGGTACCGGGCCGCGGCCCCCGCCCCGCACTCCGCGCACGGCACCGGTGCCCTCATGGCCGCTCCCGCCGCTTCCGCTCCCACTTCCGCTTCCGCTCCACCGGCCAGGGCTGCCAATCGAGCGCCGCCAGCCAAGCCTGGTTAATCCACCGTCGAGCGCAGCCGTAGCCCGGCCGTTTTATCGAGATATTTAGAGATATTTCTATAAATAGATAAACATAAAGAGATATACGGATATGGATATATACAGAGAGAGCGCTGTGTATGGGGGAAGAAGGAGGAGTGGAGAGAGAGATGTATATATCGAGATAGGGGTAGAGGTATAGATATGGGCATATATATGACATATTAATTGAAGTAAATTATATATACATATACATATACATATACATATACATAATAGAGAAATATAGAGAAATATAGAGAAATATAGAGAGGAATATAGATAGATATAAAGATGAGGAAACAACAAAGCAAAGAAACTGGAAAGAAGTCCCTGAAAACCCCAAGTGGCTGGGATTGTGTGTGATCAATGTGAGAACATCTTCACTTGTGGGTTTCCATGGGATTTTGTTGCTGTGTGTTGATGAAATACCACAGAGCAGCAGCAGAGCCAGAAGCATGAGCTGATGTCATGTGAAAAACACCAATCACTTGGTTTTAAAATTTCCAAAGTTTAATAGCAATAAAATGGTTATAAAAATAGTAATATAATTAGAGTAATAATAATTTGGATAATTGGGATTAGGAAAATATGAGACAATAGAAACAAAGAGTTACAGACGGTCTGGGTACGTCTTTCGGGAACAAGTCAGCTTCTTCTGATAATGGAGCAATAAATTATTTTTCTCTGAAAGATTGAGGTGTCCTGTGGCTGCTGTCTGGTGCAAATGCCTCATTCATTTCTTCAAAAAATATCCCACTTACATAGTTCCTATTTTAACTACAAAAGTTACCATTTCCCTACAAAACTACATTTTCCATCCTACTAAAATGTTAACACAGCACTGCTAATCACTACAACAAAATACATACAGTAAATATCTGCGTGGAGCCACAGCATATGCACGGTTCACACTCTGTTATCAGTCTCTGTGGCTCTGGGAAAGGCTGCTGCCCAGAGGAGCCCTGAGGCCACCAAGTGCAAGCTCTCAGTGCACCCCAGGTCCCAGACCAGAGCAGGTTTGAACTGTGCCAAGAAAAGGGAAATAAAAATGAACAGTCCAGGGAAAACTCTGCCTCAGCCAGCTAAAGCAACTGGACAGCAAAGGAGTGCTCTGTTCTGCTCTGTCAGTGCCCAGACAGCACAGTGCAGCTCAGAATGTGGAGCAGTGCTGCTTTTAGAGCAGGGAGTGCAGCCTCTGATAACAAACTCCATGCTGCTGCTTCTCCCCACCTGTGCTCTCAGAACCAGCACTGCAGGCACAGAATACAATATCCAGCATTAACAGAGCACACAGCTGGGATACAAGCATCATAATGTGAGAAATAGCTACTCACTTTTCATAGCTTAGAAGGTCTATTAAACCTTACCAAAAATGCAGCAGAAGGCTGAAGAAGGAAAAAAGGTTAGGGCGCTGGGAACAAAAGATTTTCCCCACCATGTGCTCAGCCCCCTCACAATGGAGGTTTTTCCTTTTTAACCCTTTAACCCCTCCCAAAGTTCTGTCCATCAACCCCTTCTTCACTGCCCAGTGGTGGAGATCTCCTCCTCAAATCCTGACTGGAGCTCAGGTGTCACCACAGTGACAAGCCAGCCCTCCCAGCCCTCCCTCGACAGCTGTCCCTTGTTAAATTGTACCCACGCAAGGGGGTACAACACAACCATAAACCATACAACTTTTCTCAACTTATCACATGCTATTTGTCTGTTAATTGTGAGAGTCCACCATGGCATTCCTCATTTATCACAATACACCACACAGAGATGGGGTGGGTGGGTTTGCTCAGACATGGCCAATGGTGGCACAGGCCCTCACAGGTGAGGCCCAGAGGCTGCACACAACACAACTATAAATCTCTACACCTTTTCTCAACCTATGCACATGATATTTGTCTGTTAATTGTGAGAGTCAATCATGGCATCACTCATTTATCCCACTACACCACCCTGGGATGGGGTGGGTGGGTTTGCTCAGACATGGCCGACGGCGCAGGCCCTCACGCGCGAGGCCCAGAGGCCGCGCAGCGCCTTCAGCCGGGCCCCCAGCGCCCGGAGCCGCAGCGTGTAGAGCAGGGGGTTGCCCAGGCAGGTGAGGGTGATCAGCATGGCCGTGCAGTTCCTGAAGATGTACACCCCCGGGTACAGCTCGCCGTGGCAGCGCCGGTTGGCCGCGTCGAAGACGACGCCGGCCAGGAATGGCGCGTAGGACACCAGGGCCAGCAGCCAGATGGAGATGCTGGTCCTGGCCACCTGTGTCTCTGCCGACCTGTAGGTGCCCGTGGCTTGGCCGCACGCCTGCATCCTCAGCTTCCTCTTCCTCAGGATGATGATGATCCTCAGGTAGGTGAAGAGGGGCACGAGGAAGGCCATGGCCACGTTGGGCATGGCGATGAAGACGAGGTAGTTGACGCAGAAGGGGCTGTAGAGCACCGAGATGTTGCTCTGCGCGTGCAGGCAGTTCCAGCCCATCAGGGGCAGGCAGCCCAGGAAGAAGGCCAGGACCCAGTTGATGAAGACCACGGCAACGGAGTGGTTCCTGGCCACCCTGAACCTCGTCCTCATGCTCTCGGCCACGGCCAGGTAGCGCTCGATGCCGATGCTCACCAGGTTGTAGATGGTGGACAGGATGGAGGTGGTGTACAGGGAGTAGGGAGCCAGCATGTCCCGGGAGCCGAAGATGGTGATGTCAGGGTTGGTGATGAACAGCATGGAAATCCAGAAGCCAGAGAAGCTGGTGAAGAGGTCAGAGACAGCCAGGTTGCAGAAGAGGATGGAGATGGGCTTGTGCAGGTCCCTGGTGGCCAGGCGGGTGAAGATGACGGTGCAGTTGAAGATGATGGAGACGACGTTGATGGTCAGCTGGGGGATGCCCAGGGCCAGCACCAAGTAGTGACTCCAGATCTTGGTGTGGTTGGCAGAGCAGTTCAGGAACCCATTCATGGTGGGGAATGCTCCTTTGGGCCGGCTCTGCTCATCCCATTCTCCCAGGAGCTCCCACCCCGATCCCCGGGCGCGGATCCTCTCCTGACACACAGCTCCTGCTGCCACATCATCGTCGGCACGGGGGTTAAACTTTAACCAGCTGTGTTTTTTAATATTTGGGTTGCCAGCTGGGGGCTGTGCCGATCCCTGGGAGTTGCTAGGATAGCCCAAACTGCAGAGCACATTTCCCACACGCATGAGCTGCTGGAAGCAACCTTTGACAAGGGCAAAGCCTGCCCAGGGCTTGGGGAGATGGGTGGTGACGCCTGCAGTCAAAAATTCTTCAGGGATGTTCTCAAATGGAGTGAATTGAACCCAGCTGTTACTCACAAATTAATTACATCATAAAGGATTAGAGAGGCAGGAAAGGAGGAGCAGAGTTCTGTGGGTTTGGAGAGTTGAGTGAGCTGAAATAAAACATCAGTGCTGTGTCTCCAGCCTGGACCACAACAGCCCAAAAATGCCTTTTCCCACTTAATCCTTTCATGATAACACAGCTGAAACAGCCAACACCACTACCCCTGCCTTTGCCACAGGATATTTTCTGTTTATTTCATGTGGCTTGGTCATTAATAAACCAGTACCAACACCAGTGTAGCTTCTCTTTCTCCAACTTTTTAAATGCAAATTATTTCTGAGAACTTAGACTGAAAATACCTGAGAGCTGGGAGAGAAAAAAGCTCACAGAACACACATTCCATGCTCTCAGCAGAGGGCACTGCTGGAATAAAATACAGTGTACAGAGGCAGCAGGGCTGGACCAGCTGAGCAGTCCAGGTGAGCAGGACAATTACCAGGTAAATTGTCCATTTATCCACATTATTTATTCTGATTCACCTCGTATTTTATTGTTGCCTTAACAAAGGATTCACCTTCGTTGTTCACAATTTTCTACCACGGCCTTGCCAAGCAGCTCAGTTGAATTGATGGGCTCCCACATTCAGCACTGATCTTACAGCAGCAATTCCAGCCCCACAGGTGGGAATCTGTGAACTCTGATAGCTCTGCCAAAAGTTAAAATGTAAGAAATTTAGGCTATAATTTTGAGTTTAAAAAGGGGACCTTTAGGGTTTTTTTCTTTTCTATTGTAGTGTATGAAAGTATATTCAGTTTAACCTGCAGCCAGCATCCACAATTTTTGTGTATCAGGAATACTTTATAATTAATTAATACACTTTTTAATTGTGATTATTATATTTTATACAATTCTAAGTAAGCAATAAGCATTTCAGATGATCACAAGGGAATGATAACATAGGAATAAAGGCTGAGAATTGACCAGTCAAGCCCGGGGCTGTTTTAACACCCTATAAAATATTCCTCTCCCAGTGTCCCAGATAAAACTCCCTTTGTAATCTCAGCCCTGGCAGCCACACCTCGGGTGTGAGGTTGCTGCTGAACAAGGGCCCCACTATTTCTGCCACCCCTGAGCCAGCCCAGCAAATCCTTTCCCTCCCAGCAGAGGTGGCAGCACAGCCCATGTGGGCACAGGACACCTGTGATGAGCACAACATCCACAGAGCAAAACGGTTTAGAAAATACCCTGGTGGCTAAAAATAATTTATCTGTGAATTTGGGCTCCAAAGGGCTCTAGATATTCCTGAAAATGCTGCTTGAAGTTGCTCTAATTTGAAAATTTGGTGCTCGAGCACAAAATGCTAAACGTTGTGAGATCAGAATGTAATTAAAGCAATATCAAGTGGTATAAATAGCTCTCCACAAAAGATCTGTAATCTGATTTCCCTAATAGAATTGCATACAAATTACCATCATGTTGCTGGATTAAGGGAGACAATAGTGTGGAAGCTGCTTTTTAGTGGGTTTAACACACAGAAACCCCCAGATTTGTACATTCCAGCCCTCTGTGATGCAGCTGGAGCCCCCAAAACCAGATGAAAAACACTTTAAATCT